TCTTCCCATGATATTTATTCCACAAGCTGCAAATACACAAAATCGGGAGGGGGGGGCGGGTTCTGTTCATCGTGAGTTTTCCTGTGTGCAGTTCTATCTGATTGCTGTGATGAGACTCTAGTGCTCGGGACGACATAATTCTCTCTTTTGGAGCTTGGTGCTCCTGGGGAGGCTGTAGGCATTGGCCTGTCACCCTCCCATCCTCCCTCAGCCATGTGAGGGACACTTAACTTTTAATCTTTTTTTTCTGGTTGGTTACTTTTAATTTGCAGTTCTCTGAAGTACTTCTGACTTGTCTGCTATTTGCAAACCTGCACAGATACTCTGGGGGCATGGAATCTTTTTGTTGGACCTTCCTTTCACAGCATAAAAGACCTTGATTTTCTGCTGCAAACCTGCTTTTTGCCATTTTCCTCTGCGGTGTCCCGTTGTATTGTGCTTACTGTGAGCTTTTACATACTGCCCATGACTATGGTGTATATATATATATATTTGGGGGTTTTTTAGATATATATATTGCTATACAAAATAATACAATGGCATGGCCATCATGTAAGTGTCTTCTTCAGAGGGGTAGTTTTATTTTTATAATGGATACTTTTATTTGTGAAAAAGCTAAGCTGAAGAGCCTCACCTAGTACACTCGTATTTAACTTGCCGTCTCTTGTAACATCTGTTACTTTCAACGTTGCTGCTTCCCAGATTTCGCCCTCCCACTGCATGGGTGTTTTTGGATCGTTTCCCTTCACTTGTCTTAGCCTGCTTTTTTTCCAGAATGAATCTCATTTGATTATTTTCAGACTGCATTTGTATTCTCTCTAAGTCTCTGTGCATTATTTCCCTGTCCCCGTTATTTTTGCAACTCCTCCAAATCTGATATTTCCCGGAGATTTAAGTTAGCATGCTGTCTAGATTTTCTTATGGATCATTAAAGAAAATACCAAGTGAAATGAGACATAATACAGGTCTTTGCAATATTGCACCTTCTTCCAGTGCTATCCTTTGCTTTTATCATGATTTATTTGCAGGCAGTTTTCAAATTGAGCCACAGCATTCATCTCAAAGTGCACATCACTATCAAATGTTTACTAAAAATCAAACACATCACATCTGCTCCTTTCCCCTCAACTCCTAGTGCTGTAATGCTAGCCAGAAAAGAGGCCAATTTCTAGCCAGTTCTGCTCTTCTGAATAGAAATCATGGTTTCATTGTCCTCAGGCTTGTAGCCTGGTTTACTGTATAGGAAGCCTCATGAATTAAAACAGCTTTGCCCCCTGTTCTGAAATTCAGTTTTGTGGATAAACAGACCTGGGGAGGAAACAAGAGGAGCTGGTGCATGTGATGGGAAGAAAGAGAGAAGAGGGATATATGTGTGTGGGGAGAAGGGGAGTCACTTTTATCTGTCTGTGTAAGGTAAGTAACTAAGTGATGGCAATTAGATATATATCTGAAGAACTGGTCAAATCCCTGGGTGTTCCTGTGTTTCTAGACCACAGCTTCCCATACAGTTAAGCATTCTGTGCTGTCCTGCTTTGCTCTCCTGTGGTCTGTGATGCCAGCCATACTTGAAGCTATGGCCAAAAGGAAGGCACAAGACAGCATCAGCAGCCACCTCCTGGCTGGACACCTTGTAAAATCAGTCTGCTTCAGCTGTTGGCCAGGTGTCCGTGACACAGAAAACTGACACTTCAGGGATGTGGTAATAAAGGGACCTTTCTTACTCTTAAGTGCAACAGGTAAAAGTGGCTGTTTTAGGTAAGAAGCAAAGGAATTGAGACAAATGTGAGGAGCTGACAGGGACTGTAGGATGAAAAGTGACAGCATGCTTAGCCAAGACTCTTTCAATGGGAAATGTGAGTTACAGTCCCTGAAGATTATGCAAAAGGCATCCCATTCATGGCTTTTTGCTTTGACCTGGCCATAATAAAATCTCAAAAGTTTCTGGTGACAGTACTGCCTGCACTGCACTGGTTAGAGCAGTATTTTATACCCGTGATTTAAAAGGATTGTTAGTACCCCCTTTTAGCTGGGGCCAGCGGCTGGGAGCAGGCAGAAATAAATTTAATCTATTTTTCTAAAAGGGCTCTGCCTATATTATTGGGTCACATACCATCTACTCTTGCTCTTGCCTGCATCCCTTCTTCCCCCCAGCTTTCGCTACCTGCTTGCAGCCCAGCCTGGACCACCACCCACGTTGGGGAGGATGGCATGTGGCAGCAGCGTTTCAGCCTGGTGTTGCTGTCTGGAGTGTTGGGTCCCTGGTGGACAAGAGGACGGGGCTAGGGAAAAGCTGAGGCTGTGTTTTGTGCTGGTGGAGAAGTATGAGTTGGCCTGCAGGTTAGGAGGTTGTCTGTCCGAATCTTGGGGAAGGGGAGTAGGCGTGTGGTTTTGTTTTGGGGTTTGTTTGGGGTTTTTTTGCTAGATTTCAGCTTGAGCAATTAACACAAATATTGCTATTGAGGCTCCTGATGTAAGCTTTTAAAATTGTTCCTAGTATGTTCAGTACTGTTTGTGTGAGACATCATTTCTGTGACATCAGAGGAATTGAATTTAGCAAAATGCTATGGTGAGATGTTAGAATCTATGTTTTGTAATAAGCTTACACATTTTCATATGTTCTGCTGACAGCGTCTGCCTTCAGCATTGTGGCAACTGCAGGCCTAGACACACCTCAGAGATGCCTTCATCGTTTTCTTACCCTGTGCTACTTTTTCCACCTGGAAAATCCCTTTTTCTTTGATGGCTGCCCTAAAGCAATAGGGCTAAAAGGACTTTAGCCACCTCTAGGTTTTCAGTCCCAGGCTTTATACCCATGCTTACTGGGGCACACAGGACTGTGGTGTGTCTCCCTGCTTCTTCCTCCTCCTTCCTCCCTCCCCAAGTACAGACCTAAACCGAACAGTCCAAAGACCAAGCCCAAACCTAACCCCTGCCACCTCACAGTCTGTTTGACTTTGTCCTCTTTGCTGAAACAGCATGGTACATAGATTTTGACCAAGTCAGAAAGCATCAAGGAGTGTCTGAAGGACACAGAACAACCTGGGACTCGGGGGCAACAGCTAATGTGCCCCTTCATCCTGGCCACACAAGTGGACCAAGGAGGGGCTGGAGACTCCCGGCTCCGCAGGCCCTGAGAGCGGGGCTGGGGGTGCTCCCCCACCTCCCTCCCCTGCCCACCCTGCTCAGCATAGCCAGTAAGTTGGTTCAGTCTCTCCTGAGTACTGCTACGGCCAAATGATTTGGTTTTGCTTTGCTTTGTTATTTACTACGATGATCAAAGGAGCCACTCCTTGTGATCGTAAAGAGAAGCCTTAAAATCTTATTTAAGAGCACAAGTGTTTTGGGCTTTGACAGATGTGCTTTGAAAATAAGACAGATGTGCAGCGTCAGATTTCAGCGCTGCATGCAGTGTTTTTGTTTCAAACTAAATTTGGCTAGTTCTGCTGGACATGTGCTTTCCCAAAGCCTTGCCTTCTGCAGCGAAGGAGAAACAAGTTTCTGGGTTGTGAGGTTTTTTTCCCCCTGAATTAACCACTTAGAGAGCTTGAAAGGAAAATGATCTTACCAGAGCGAGCACTCAGCCCTGCCAGGCTGCAAATCTATGGGTTATTTTTAACCTAATAACCTCAAATTAAACAAAAGCTTAAGTTTTTTGCTTGAATTGAAGATGAGGCTAAGTAGATTTTATTTGCAATGAAACTCCAGCCGAAGACGTGCTTCTCCCATTGTGCCATGCAGAGTAATGCCCGTGGCACTGCACTGCACTAAGGAACGGCGCTTGATTTTCTGAAGCACTGGCCTTTGTGAGTTGCTGCAAGAGGATCTGGAGCTCTCCAGCAGTTCTCTCCTTTCCTATTCTCACCTGTCCTACAGATGTGGCGATTGCTTTGGACTGGTGATATTTCAGGTGTAGCATGGTCTCCTTACACTTGCCTGACAGTGGCTCATTAACTGCATGTTAATTGAAAGTTTGCTGGATGATTCAATTTGGTTACATGTTAAATGGATTCAGTGCAGTAAGCGTTGCTGTTGCAATTAAAATCTCTGTGGAATTGATTTGTGAACTGATTTGGAGGGATTCAGCAGCTTCATCAGTGGCTTTGAGAGCTCAGCTTCGGGGGAGTGAGCAGAGGTAGCCGTGCTCCCAGCGAAACAAATCCTTCTCTTCTCTTTCCCCCTAAGTGGCTTTAACTACTGCCTAGAATGTTCCCTTTACAGGACATGTGTTAGGTAGTTAAATTTACTCTGGAGAGCTAAGAAGCGAAGAAGAAAATGGAAAGAATCAAAAGTCGGGTTTGAATTCTGTAATCTAAATGGCTGGAAATGTTGAATTCCTTGTCTCTCAGTTGATTGAGTGGTCATAAAATTTTCCTAAAGTTTTACTCAAACAAAAAAGTATCTGCTTCAAACTAATGGATAGAAAATTCAAAATTTTCATCCTCTATAACTCATCTTTTATACTTGGCCACTGCAAAAGTCCTTCTTAAGTGAGCAATTTATTCTGTGTGCTGTACCTGCTTATATGCTTGGTTTCTGTGTGGAGGCAATTTTTATGGCTGAGTTATAAACCCTTTGAAAATAGGGCCTTGTAATGGAAGCGCTGACAGACCTTTAACTAGGTCAGTCTTATCTGACTCCATTATCTTTGCTTTTGTTGAAGCATTAAGTGGTTGCATATTTGTTTATTTCTCCTACAGTCCCAGAATTTTAACATGAGTATATTATTGAATTGTTCTTTCTTCTAAATGTCAGGAACAGGCAGCATTAGAGAGTTTATCCAGGCTTCCCAGTCATCTTTAAAAGTAAATTGAACTGTTGTGTCTTATTTACAGATTTTCTTGCTTTATACAGTACATTTAGTCTGTAGCAGGTCATTACCATACTAATACCCAAGTTAGCTTTTTCTCCTGCTATCTTATTCTAATCTTGAATTTTGCTCTGTCTTTTGGGCTCCTTTCTGCATAAAATGATAATGATGTTTTTTTGTTTGTCCCATCCAGATGAAAAGCCATACCACTGCAACTTTTCTGAAGAGGAAACCCCAATGGTGACATCTCAGTTGGATGAACTCCCAAAGCTGGGAAGACGCAACACCAGAGAAAATGAAGCCAGGGAATGCAAACCAGAGGTTCCTGCTCTGGTGTCAGCACTGGAGAGTGTCATCAAGGAGCCGTTTTCGAAATACCAAGATCTAAAAGGTTCTGCAGACATAAAGATGCCAGCATTTCACCACAGCCAGGGGCTTCCTTGCTCCAGTCGCATTGCTAGCTTTGCTTTGGGTGTGGGCCAGACATCTTCAAACATGGTCATGGACTTGAAAACGTCACTTGAAGTGCAGGCTAGTCATGCTAGAGAAAATTTGCTAGACTTAAACAGGGAGCATCTTCTGATAGAAAAAGGTGCTGTAGCTCAAGAGGTAGCTCCACTCGATTTGAGTGAAAAATCAACAAGGGATAATTCATGCAATAAAAATCTGAATACATCCTCGCAGGCTGCTTTAGTTGTCTACCCATGTCCTTTCTGCAGTCACAAGACCTACTACCCTGAAGTCCTGTGGATGCACAAAAGAATTTTGCACAAAATCAGCTGTAACTCGATGGCCCCCCCTTGGGTTCAACAGAATGGATTCAAGAGTATTAAAAACAACCTGATCTTTCTGGCAAGGAGTGGGCGTACTGGGCCCCCTCCTGTTCTTGGCGGTAAGGAATGCCAGCCTTTGCCCGTTGCCAGATTTACGCGCACTCAAGTGCCAAGCGCGTTGCCAGGCTCCAAAAGCGGCTCTCTTTCTGTCGGGATGACTGGGAAGTCCGGGAGTACTCATCAGTCAAAGGATGGCTGTGCCTTCAGCCACTGTGGTCCACGCTTATCAGGTCTGGATGGGTACGGACAGCCCAAGTTAAACCATTCCCAGGAGCAATACAGCATAGCACAACAAAAAAGTAAATATGAAGCAAATTCCAAACTTATGCAAATGGGAGCCTATAGCAGAAGCCTAACGCCTACTCACACGGTCATATCCAGGCCTAGCACACAGCTCACCAGCAGTAAGCAAGTGGAAAAGTACATGGTTCCCCAAGGAAGTACTAGTTTTGCCCCCCCAGGTAAGCACTGTGTGTCTGACTCCACGAAGGCCAAATTCAACCCACCACCACAGTACCATCCCCTGTGTAAAAGCGAGCAGTACACTAAACACGAAGAGCCATCAGTGCCTCAGAGGGAGTCTCACATGAAGGTTGGGAATGAGATGAGGACATTGGCAAACTGCACGGCAGTAGCACGAGCCAGTCCACTGCTGCAGCCCCAGCCTGGCGCCGCGGGGGTTTCTCCAGCTTTACACTCCAGCAAACAGGATCTGGGATCAGATGGGCATGAGAAACGTTTGGATGTTTTAAATATCTTTAAAACATACATTCCAAAGGACCTTGCTTCGTTGTACCAAACCTGCGGTGCCAACAGCCCTGTCCTGGATCACGCAGGTAAGATTTTCACAAGCCCTTCCATAGCTGAGGATGCTGCTTGCTTGTTCCTGCTTCCTTCGTAGCCACGACACGCTGTTTCACATTTTCTTCCTTCTCTCCCTTTAACGGTTGGGATTAGAAGTTCATTGTTTTTATCATTTCTGGATAGGCTTGAATAGGTTTGTTTACTGATCTCTAACACTGCAGCATCCCCCCTCGTGCACTGTGTGACATTTCTGTCACAGGTTAAATGTATCTGGTTCCACCTGGAGTATTACTGTTCCTTTGTCCCCTCTCTTCAAGCAGGCTAAAGTTACACAGATGTGCTGTCACACGAAGATCCCCCTGATATGCTGGTGCTGGCACACATCATCATCTTTTTGCTTCGGGCAAAATAAACATCCTCTGGGGTTTATCTGTGATGTTATTTTAGAGGTTTTGTTCAATTTCGTCTGCAAACAAGTCTTCCAACAACAGAGAGAGATAATCGCTTGTCAGTGTCCTTTGTCTTTCCTGACAAATCTTCCTTGTCCATATCAAAGACTACTGTCGTATTTTTCAAATTATTCTTCTGATCTGTTTTTATGTTTATAATTAAGGCTGAATATGTGCCTGCTAATTCATGTAAGCAGGAAAGGCAGTTGTGCCAATAGCCAGTTTAAAAGTTCAGGGACTAAAAAAGTATCAGAGCTCTCCTTCTGCCTCTTGCCAGTCAATTGCCATGTAAAAAGAAGAAAGGAAAAAACAAAACAAACCAAAAAAAAACCCCCCAAAATATGTATTTGCATTTGAAATCATATTCTTCTGATGATCTGCCAGAATTAGTTTGCCTCAGTGGGAACTGAAAATCACACTGATTTATTGCTTTTGAGATGGGGGTATGTGTGTAGGGAGGGAGAACGGGAGCCATAGTCCCAGCTCTCACCATTTGTAAACCATCCTGTTTTTTTGTACACTTCTCTTCGTAGAAGTCGTGCAAGAGCTGAACTCCACATGGAAGGAGCACGTGTTCTAGACTGGTGTTCTAGTGCCCTCCCCTGACATCATGCTCTCTGTTTTGTCAAATGTATGTGCGAGCCCATTTTGCAAGTGGGATGAAACCATAGTGTAAGGACAGCTTATGGTCTAGTGCCTAGGAGGTGTGTGCAAGCAGACCACGCTGGCAGCTGTGAGGCGAGGAAGGAGCTGTGGTGTTTGGTCAGGTCTTGGTGGAAGGCCTTTTGGAGAAGACGGAAAGGCAAAATCTATCTGAGATAATCCATGAGGTGCATCTTTCAGCCACTCCATTGTCAGCTTTGCTCAATCATTTAAAAAGTAATGCTGCGTAGGAGCTGACTGTTATTTATTCCTATGGAGTAGATAACTTCACAGGTGGTTAGAGCCTGCGTGATGATGATAACTAACATCAGGCTCCTGGTTTCCATTAAGGAAACAGAGGAGGACATGCTCTGTTTCTAAAACTGCACCGTCAGTGTTCCCATTTTTGTCCAGCCAATTTTGCTTTTGCCTTCTCAGTGCCTAGGAATGTTGTCTAAAGTTGCTCCCTGCCTGCTTCCTGCTCTAAATAGCAGTTAATTGTTCCACCATCAACTTGGAGTACCTTCATGTGGGTGCCCACCTTGATGTTATTTAATATTGCATTGTGTCAACCTGTTCAGAGTAATCTTACTGATCCAGAGAGCTCCCAGCTGTGTTAAGAGAGATGGAGAGAAAAAGCCAGGAACTAGAAGGTGGCTTAGTGAATGCAGGCACCAGAAAGACCATGAGGACCGTTGAGGCAAAGTAAAGTAGGGGCAGGGCTTCCAAGGAGGTCTCTATTTATCTGTTTTTAAAAGAGGGATTTTATTGCCAAGAAGTTTTTGCTGGGCAGTGATTTCCAGAGACACTTTAACTGGAAATTATTTAGTGCCCACTTCTGCTCTGAAATTTGTTCTTTAATTCCAAATGTTTTACAGCAATCAAGTTTTCAGAATCTGAAACCTCTTTTTTATGTAGCTTGTCTTTGTTTTATATACAACTTCCAGGTTGTTGATGGTTCTCTGAACCAATTGGCATGATGGCTGTTTTTCATAGCACTAAAATAAAAAGCTGCTGCAGGCAAAAGGAATGAGATCCTACCAACTGCGAATAGAGGAGGGTAAATGAACCTTGTCCGAAATAACACACGGCCCTAGACCAAACCCTCTGAGTCAGTGTGCATCATACAATTTAGTCTCAATAAGACAATGTGAATATGGCAATCGTGACATGAACGACAACCAAAAATCCCACTTAGATGTACTATTTGTCATGTTTTTTTTTCCCCAATTGAATGTCCCCAATAGACTTTACTTGGTGTTTGGTGTATGACCTCATCTTGGATCACACTAGAGTATTTTAGTGTGTGGTAGTGCAGTGTTCAACTTCCTTTAGAGTGTCTGGATTTATTTCTGGGATCTTTTTTTTTTTTTTTTTTTACATTTGTGTTTATTCCTGTGTGTCCTTGGAAAAGAGAGTTGTATGTTCTGTTGTGACACAGTGGCAAACACAAAGCCTGCTGCGCTTAGGCTAGGTTTGTTTCACACTGCCCAATCTTCCCAAACACTTGTAGAGATAATATTATTTTTATATTTGATAGTGGTTATTTATTTTATTTATGATATTTACATGAACCACCATGTTAGGAAAGGATGGGTTATGGCAGCAGATGCGCTCTTTCCCCGGGGCTCCTTTGAGACCGGCTTTGAGCATCGGGTTTCCATAGGAGCTCCGCATTCACATAGTCACATTCATTTACCTTAATTTGCTAACACCTGTAGTCATCCACCCTCTTTTGTTCCCATACTGGATAACCTGAGTGATGACTCATTGGGGTATTGCCTTGTGGCAATGATGCCCATCCCTCAAAGCTCTGAACTATCAAAAGCCTGATGGTGCTCCTTAGGAAATGTAACCACGGCAAATATACCTGGAAAACATCCATTTTTTCAATCTGCTTTTTAAATAACTACCATGAAGTGAGTGACAGGGAGAGGTTAGAGGAAAGTCCTAACCTGCTCACCTTCGGTGTTTGCACAGGGTACCTTGACTTACAGCAGCATCCTCAACCTTCCCTCATGCGCGACTCCAGCGGGAGCAGTGCTTCCATGAAGGCTGTTGGATTGGGCCTGTGATGGCTGCTGAGACAAGTGCATTCACCTTTCACAGAGGGGTATAGAGAGATTAAATGTCTTTCCAGAGGTGGCAAGAAAACCACCTAAGGAACCCAGGTCTCCCGGGCTCCACGGGCACCACTGTGCCAGTAGCAGAGCCCTGCTCTGCCTGTCCCTGCCTGTCCGGCAGCCAGCACAGCGCCCCAGCAAAGGCCATGTCTGGTCCCTCAACACGCTTTGCTCAGCTTTACTTTCGAGCTTGCAGCTGGAGTTCTGGCCAGCGAGGGGAAAATGGTAGTAACAGACCAGAAAATCTGCTTTAATCTGGACTGCCTTACAAGGTAAATCCATCTCATTTTTGTATGGTGAAGCTCTCATTGAAATTTATGTGATTTTTTATTTTATTTTATTTTATTCGGGGTGGGGGGGGGATAGGGGGGTATATGTGATCTAGATTTGCCCCTAAATCATGGTCTTGTATTTGACTGCCAGGAACTGAATTGTTGGGAATGAGTGTGTTCAGCTACATTATACAGGCTGTGCTGCCACCTGCAGGAGGTGCTATTATAAAAAGAGAAAACAGTTTGTGAGTGGGCTGTTTTTTGGGTTTTTTTTTTGCAGACAGACATTTCTTTTTAATTTATGCTGTGGTTAAAATTGCAGGACACTTGGTGCTGTACCAGCAGAGTAAATGGCAGCCCATCTTCTTTTCCATTCATTTTCAAGTACAGCATACGTATTTCAGATGAGCCCCATGGCATCCTGCAGTTGATTTTTCAATTGTGGAGGGTTTTTTGTTGCCACTTTTTATTCACAATTTTATTATTTTTAAATGCTGTAACAGGGGGGGAGGAGATGAAAGAAAAGCTGAAACTTCACTTCCACTGACAACCCCCTGAGAATTTCTTAAAAGCCAAAGTATTCCAGTGGCAAATGGAAACATCAACTCTTTCCTTCCGAGGAAGGCATTTTACCAAAATAGAAAAGATGATGTTCAAACATGTATTTTTTTTTAATAATAAAAAAGCCCAATAAAAGTCAAATGTGTCTTTTTTGATCAGCAGCAAAATGACAAAGACCAGCCCTTTAAGTCAGATGCTGTAAACTGACCTTTGGAGAAAAAGGAGAGGTTTGAGCGGTTTTCCACAAATGCTAATGGCCTAGAAAACATGTTTACCCAGGGCTGGGGGAAGGCTGCTGCGCTGCTACCAGCTCAAAATGTCCGGAATGACACTTTCATTCACAGATGTCTTTCCTCTGTGCCTCAGAGGTCCGGGGTCAAAGCAGCACCGGCAGGCAGGTAGGCAGGGGCGAAAGGTTTGATCAGTCTGTGATGGCTCCGCTCGCTCTGCATTTGTCTCTGAGGTATTGCCGCCCGGGGGGGACAGTCGGGCTCTGGTCCTACTCACTTCCTATTATCCATGTGACTTGTCTCCGCCACGCTGGAGTCACTTTGATTTGCCTGATGTACTGCTTGACAAAGCTGGGTGATGGCTGAGAAGTGGATCCAGCTGCTCTGAAAAGCGCACACCTGACATGCCAGTCCTGGTGCGGGCACATCATGGGGAGCATTTTTTAATTCAATGTAATTTATGCATTCTTGCAGTCCTGTGTGTGCCTGGCCTGTCAGCCAGTGCCTAGATGAAGGCTGACAGTTGTCATCCAGGGCCTGAAGGTAGCCTCACATAATGACACATTAGACATACTAATGATGTTTTCTTCTGGCATAATGTTTTCTTCTCAACTTTCCTCTCTCCTCTCCCCCTCACCTCCTCCTCTCTCTCCCTCCCTCCCTCCCTCCCTCCCGACTACAGGGATGCTCAGGACACAAACACGCCAAGGAGACTGTGTCTGCAGAGAATGTGGAAAATGCTTTACCCAACCCAGTCACCTCAGGACTCATCAGAGGTCCCACACAGGTACCTTTTCACACTGACTCTTGCTTTCTCCCTCTCCCACTTGCCTGCTTTCGGATCCAGCTAACAAAATGCCAGGAATTATGTTTCACATACCATGCTAACCGAAGTAATTCCAGTACCCAAATCTAATACACAGGTTTTTTATTTTTATGACTATTGCTCTTGTTCTCTGGATATTGCTTACCTGATCCCTGCCCAAACTCCATAAAATTGCAGTGCATTTAAGATAAGTCTGTTTGCAAATGTTTTATTTTAATTAGAGAGTAGGGTACTCAGAAATGAATATGCTAATGAATTCTGTTGCCACCAGCACAAATTGAAATCAAAGTACCCCTTTCAGCACAACATAAGGCTTTGTTTTGCCTCATCGTTGCTGTTGACAGGAACATTTTTGTGGGGAAAAGAGATTTTTCTGCAGACGGGCCAGCCCTAAAACGGGAAATCCCTACCAGCCATTTTTAACCTGGCACAGTCTGTGGTTGAGGCTGTAGGAGGCTAAAGCTACCAGTGTCGGAGAGACCTCCTGAGCATTGCATGAGACAGTGAGACTACTGGGTTTTTCCTGAAAAGTGTGAATGATGCATACATAAGCCAGTCTGATGCAAAATGACAGAGGCCAAATGGTAAGTAATGCAAGAAGAGGGTCCCTTTACACATACACTGATAATTAATGTTGTCAGTGATTGCTTTCTTCAGCGCTGAAGTCTGAATTAAAAAGGGCAGTGGCCCTAGGCTGCCATTAGCACACTCTCTTACAGTAAGTGTTACGGTAAATTGGTATTTTCTGGCCACAGGCTAGTAGCTGGTGTCTTTTTTTGAACGTGGTTAATCTGTAATGGTCTCAAATAATGTACACACACTAACGAAGCTTGAATGTTCATCTGTTAACAAGCCCCCTTGTTCCCACAGTGGTATTTGAGTCTAATGGACTCCGAGGTACTGAAGTTCACAACACCTCCGCAGATGCCCCAAAACAAGTATGTTTTACAATTAATTGGATGTTTGTTTTTTAATGTGGTAGCTGGGAAAAAGTTGCACAGTGATACTCGTCGCTAAAGCACTGACTGTTTTGTAACATGTATAAATAATAACAGCGTTGCTTGATTTTTAGCTCTTAAATTTTTTAAGTGTTTTATCAAAGTCTGTTATATGGAGAGTCAGTTAATTGTAGAGCAGGTAGTTAGTGTTTAAATAAACATGTTACTGGCTTACTGGGAAAGGGGTGGGATAGGTAGCTCTGTAATGCACAGTGATGTGTACTAGTGAGATAGTACATAAAAAATTCCTAGAAATAATTTCCTTTTACAACTAACAAGTTTTCTGCTGCAGCAATACAATTAACACTTAGTCTGTATTTTTCTGAAGAGTATTCGTACCCTGACATCCAGTATCTGGCCTTTGAAAGGCTCTCATTCTCCAGTTTCTGTGGACCCTGTCTGGCGGTATGCTTTCCTGTTTCTAGTATACAGAGTCTCCTGTCTTAACAAACACTTCTCAGCACTCTGAATTGTACATGACAAAGCTATTACATAGAAACCATTAAACTGAATTTGTTTCATGTATCTCATGTCTTTGGAGACCAGTGTCATAACCTGGACCTTGCCACTCCATCTTCCAGCTTCACAGGTGGGTTTCAGGGCACACCTTCTTATGGGCAGTTTTCTTTCATTGTGAAACTGCCTTCATCATCAGTCACTTTTCCTTTCATCCACGTTTTTAGTTTAACTACAGCACTTCTCCTGTACTACTGTCTCTTGCTAAACGATTGCAGATGGTTTCAGCCATGCTTAGAGAATACATCTTCATGCTTGTCCTCCCTCTGTGAAGTTTATGAGCTGGTTTCTACTCACTCAATGAGCATCCTCACCAGGCACCACCACATCGCATAGTACATACGCTGCACCCTTCATGGAAACTCTTAGCACCTTCTCTGTTGCACTTGCATCTTTCTGGCCCAAAGGCTATGCGGGGAACCCAGCTGTTGCCACAGGAGTATCTGAGTTGTTGACAGGCCATAGGAGTGGCCAACGACTCTTCTCATAAGGTTTTCAAGATGGCATAGCACTTCGGTAGTTGTGGGCAGTGTTTACTTTGCGTTTGTGGGACAGTAGCAGCAAAGCTATGCTATAGTTGGAGACCTAGATGAAAGTGCTCTCTTTGTGATGCTCATCTAACAAAATTGTGCAAGGCCACACCTCTCAGTAGAAGTAGGTGACAGAGTGAAATGCTGCAGCTCTGCAGACTAGCTCAACTAGTATTTGGTTCTCATCGGTTTTGTAATGAAAGTTTAGTAAACCTAAGCATCTTAAAAATGCTCTTTCATCTTCTCATGCTCATGGTTTTATCTCATGTGTAGTTGAGATCAGCTTCTGAAGACATCTGGGCTTTTTCCCTAAAAAGACAGTGTAAGGTCAAAGTTGGAAATACATTTCCAAAAAATTCTGAGATGGCATTATATATCAAAAAAGAGATGTGGTAGCTCAGTCTGTGTCTGGACTCTCTTTGTAATTTGGGTTATATTACTGCCCAATAAATTTACTCATAATCTTGTCTTTGTAAACTACTGCCATGCCAGAATTTATTGACTAACTTCTTCCACAGCAAATGTAGCTTGCTCTTGCAGTCTCAGTCCATGTCAATCCGTCTTCAAGGTATTTGATTAAATTACAGCATCTCTCAATACAGCAGAATATTGAGTAGGGGTTAGCTTCATGAATTGCTTTGTCTCTTGCCAGTCAGTATTTCTTCCACAGAGGCTGCGGTATGATCACTTCTCCAGGAGATAGTTATCTTTCTTTTGTCTTGTTTGCTTCTCAGTATCAGCCTTTGTCTCAGTTTGTCAGCATCCGTGTCGGTTAGGATTATTCAGTTGTCTGCCGTTGCGCTTGTTCTCATCACAGGCAGGCTTTGTGCTCCCCCGGAACACTCCACCTGCACGATCCCTGGGCATTAGAGAGGGAATATGCTCATTTCTACCTGCAGCTGTAGGGGCCTTTAGAAGTGCAGAAATGAGCTCGCACTGAGAATGATGCCTGCAGCATTCTGGTAACATTACAATTTCCCACTTTAAATGTTGTCACTCCACGTCTTCATTTCATTTCTTAATTGGGGACAAATCTATTCATGAGAGTTTACGGTGTAAAGTCAGTTCAAGTTACAGAAGTGCCAGGCAGATGCTCTGAGCAAGAAACAATAGTTACTACATATGGTAGCTTGAGAATGAAAGGGGATTTTTTTTAATGTTAAGTGGAAATGATTCACTTTACATAATGTTTCCTTCTCACAGGTAAAATAACTTCCCCTGAGTAGTCTGCTAAAGAGTAAAAATATTAACATTAGAACTTCACAGGTTGCCCATTCCCATCAGTAGTCAACCAGAAGATCATCTCTAAAGGTTTCCATTATGAAAGAATGTTAGGTAGGGCCTTTAAAATCCCCCAGTATAGTAGCTTACAACTGTGCTGCATTATACAGCAGTTTTCTCAGAGAATAATTCTAATTCTGCATGTTAAAAATAGGGTCTGCAACCAAGTTTTTTTAAAAAATGAGGCAGCTAAATGTATATTTAGGTGTCTAAATAGGAAACCTACTTCACAGTAGTGAACCACCAACGTGACGTGTAGGTGTTCAGCATCACTGAAAAGAAGGCCACCTATAGGGGCATGTAAATACGACCATACACACCCAGTTCTGATAGCATTGCCACTGGGCTGTGTTTCGTGCTTTGTTGTCAGCACCGATGAAATATGGTAAATGAAATAAACAAAAGTAGGAAATATGATGTTCATTTGCTTCATAACATTATTTATTGTGCTTTCTCAACTTCTACCTGAAAGCTTTACAAAAAAACAAAGAAGGACATTTTCACATCAAATTAATTTCCTGTGAACTCTGGAATATTTCCTACTCTTCTTTGTCTAAAGGACAAAAAACACTCATTACATACCCTGAGTCGATACAATCTGTGCAAAGTCATGTAGATTCTCTTGAAATGCTGCCATATTAAACATGCAGAATATTCTGAATATTTTTATAAATGCTAAATATCCCAATATATCCATAATTAAGGTTGCTTATCCACAATGAATATGTATCTTAATTTGGAATACACGAAGCAGTATCCAAAGACCTGATTTAGTAGGCATGAATTCGGGGAGTGCACTCCAATTGCTTATACATGGCAAGACAAAAGCTGGCTCCCCTTTGGAAGGGTCGGAGCGACTGCGTGTATCTCGAAGCTGCTGCAGCTTTCCAAGCAAAGCTCTCCTAAAGCAAGGGGTCATTTCAGAGGCGCTGCCTGATGTTGCTGCATTGCAGCCAGAAGCCCAATTCCCAAGTGCATTCAGTCGCGCAGGAATCAGTCTCTAGCCTGCTTCTGCAAAACGATGACAGCAGCAGTAGCAATTTCTCATACATATGCCTTGCATTTAACTACTTCTGCTGCATTTTTAAAAAACATACAAAAACTTGGATCACTTTAGGAATATATTTTATCCTCTGTCAGTGCTGTGTCAAACAATATACTCTAAAAAGCTTAAGGGTCAAGTAAATGGGTGTTCAAAAGGTGACTTACTGGTTAACAACGAGGAAGAGTTCTGTCTACTTGAGAGTGTATATAGGTGAAGCGTATTTGCAGTGCTGGAGCCAGAGACACCAAGGTCTTCGCCTTTTGTGTGAGTGAAACAAGCAAAACCCCCAAAACTCCAACCTTTGCCCTCTCCAGAAAAACACCCTTTTACTCACAGAAAATCAATTAAAAGCTACAGCCTAGGAAAAAAACTAAACAAACCCAACTATTATCTCTGGCTGAAGCTTTCCCCATGCCAGTAGGCAGTGATGGTCCTTCTCTGTGAAAGAACTGTGGACACCACAGTTCTTGGACCTCAGTCACTGAAAAGAGAGGTGTGCAGAGGTCCTGTGTGTCAGGGGTAAACCACCTTAATTAAGGAATCTATAAGCCTTAATTTTCTCCACTGCAAGTATTTTAAAATATTTCTTTTGGTGTTCAATACTTGAGATAGCATAAAGATGAATAGTCAGAATTTAGGGGATAGGCAAATTGGAAAGAACCATCAAGAAAACACTGTGTATCTGTACGTATATTGTAAAGGAGCTTGAGGGAAGTGCTGGGGACATTGTTACCTCCAGTGTCTTTGTACTCCATCAACGCTACAGCCCTGCTTGTCCTAAAGCAACTTTGGAGAGAAGGGGAGGAGCAAAAAAACCCAACAAAACAAACAAAAAACCCCACCCCCAAACCCTAAACAAAAAAAGCCAAAAACAGATTAAAAAGTTATTTAAACCATTGCTTTCTGAGTTTAGGTGGGGCTTCTTTTTGTTGGGGTGGTTTTTATTTGCATTTGAAATTTTAGCACTGTCTGTTACAAGTCCTATTTATGACATTTGTTCATATGAAATGTCTTGCCCAAGTTCCTTGCAGAGTTGCTGCTAAAGATCATGATTAATAGTTCAGTCCTCATTATTGCAAATGTTATTTTTAAATAGTTATTCTGAGAACAAGAATTCCATTAATCAAAATAATAGATAATGAACAAATAAATGGCAACCTAATTTGTCTCGTTCATACATATGGAGATTATAATGCAAACAATCAAGGAATCGTGGAGGCTGCTGTTCCGGCATCTGAGTAATATGCATGTACTGTATGTCCATGAGTTTATGAGCATCATAGACAGGATTAGCAGCTGTAGTTCTTGTCCCAACACTTTCCCCTTGCCAGCAAACTGGGGTGGTATCTGTGCTCCAAACCGATCATTTCAATTTATTTCAGTTTTGTGAGATAATCTGTCTCCAGTGTATTAACATGCACACAGATGGATTTTTTCCTGTTAACTGATGGAAAGCCCTAGAAGTTGGTATGAAGGCAGCTTTTGGCATAGAAGCCAAAAGCTATAGGTTTCACTTAAAAAAAGATCTGCTGTTTTTCCCCTTTAAAATGCTGGAAGTGAAAAAAGCCTACTTGTTAAAATGGTGAACGTTTCACTTCAGGAGGACTTCAGCCCAGCTATGTATCAGCTGGTTCAAACTCTGACCCCCCCCCGCCCCCCCAGGCCGGTGCCAGTACCAGAGGATGAGCCAGGGTGGGCTTTGGCACACCTGAGGCTCTGCTGCTGTTTTCCAGTGGACCTGGGAGCGTGGCCGTGCCTTAGAAGGGGTCCAGCCGCCCACCCACCCGCTGCCCTGGTCCGTCTGTGCCTCCCGGCCTGGCGGGAGGAGGATGGATGATCCCTTTCACGGGCCATGGGCGGGTGGTGCCCGCACCTGCAGGGCATGCCTCTGCCACCCAGCACCCCACAAGCTGTCCATCCCAAAAAAGCACCCCTATTTATGCTCAGTAATTATTTTTTCAGTTCTTACCCAGGGAAGCTGGGGTGAGGCGCCTGCCATCCTCTCCCCTCCCTCCCTTGTCCCCTGGCTCGGTGAAACCCTGCCGTGCTCCCCTGTGTGCGCAGAGCCGGTTCGAGCCGAGACGTTTTAATGATGAATGCCTCCTCCTGGAATTGGGGCTCTGTCTCTCAGGCATGATGCAGCCGTGCAAAAATGTAAAGCATCTTTCTTGGTTTACTGCAGGAAATTCAGCATCCAACTAAGGAAGTTTTATCACATCTCTCATTCAGTTACTGTTTCCTACATTTCAAATATACTGCCGTCTGTACAGCAGCTTTTTTTTTCTTTAATTTTGTTGCAAATCTTTCCAACTTAAACCAAACTTTGACTGGTAAATGTCATGAATCTCGGGCCAGGTTTAATTAGGAATTTTGTAAATGTATTAACAAAAGAGATGCACTTAATACATTATGTCAACCAAAACTGGGTTTTCTTTAGCTGTTTCAAGGGCTGCCATAGGCACAGCTTGAAACTTGCTTGGATTTTACATGGGTGCCGTATTTTATGTTGCATTAATTTAAAATGGTCTGTTTCACTTCATCAAGACTTTAGCTTAAGGATAATGCATTTATGTAAGATTAATCTTGCCATGTTGTTTTAGGATCAGGATTGTAAACTGCATTGTTCTGACAGTGATGTTCTAAATGTCATTTTAAAGCTTTTCTTGGGAGCTGCAGGCTCCTGCTTATTCATGATGTTATCTTTAATTTCACTTGATTTTAGAATATCCCTGCTGTTATTTTCAACATGGTAATTATTCATGAAAAATGGGTAAAAAAAAAATAAAAGGAAAATGACAAGGGGGGGGGAAAAAGCTGCCTTAGCATTTGACAGACCTGTGCAAGAATTCAGTTTTTCTCCTCTGTGACCTCAAACTTCAGCATTTTTAAAATGCTGATCTAGTTAAGAATCCCTTTTGGCTAGCTCAAAATTCTGTTTTTTGGAGGCCTCTTCTTCCCCTCCTTGTTCCCAGCCTTCTCTGAACTGCTCCATCAGACGCTCCTACTTGCTCTGCTAGTCCACCAGGGACTTTATATGGGCCTGACACACTTTGTCTTGCTGGAGATTATTAAAAAACCCCAAAAAACTTCTGATGCGATGGGCCAAAACGAATGTGCGTGGTGCTAATAAAGAGTAACGAACACCAGCAGGGCTTGCTGGAGGGTTGTGCATGGGAGTGGAGGCGAGAATGAGTTTTCCCCTGTGTCGTCCTTCTTGCAGGGGAGAGACCACGGCGGAGTGGAAGTCACCCACACGCTGCCTGTCCGGAAGGGAACCTAGAGCCTTGGCAGAGGAGCCCCGGCGCCAGTGGCACCCACCCTGAGGGGCAGGGCCGGCAGCCCCCCGCGCAGCCTCCCCGCCAGCCATCGCCTCGCCCGCAGCCGCTGCACCAGACTGAAGCCAGCACTCTGCGAGGAAGGGGGTGCCTCTGCGCTGTTAATCATTTTAAAATAAATGAAGATGCTACACAAGATATATATAAATTGACGTACTAATCAGTCCCATGGTTCCTTATTTCCTTTATAATAAACAGTGGAGTTGGCAAGCACTGTGGCAGCACGAGGCATCTATATTAATCAAGAGAAGTTTGAGACACTGGAAAAATTAAACTTTATGTGATTTGGACAGCATGAAGAAGTTAAGCACTGTAACAAAAACCTCCCTGATGCTCACAATGACTATTTGATACATTTGAAAAACAGCAGTGGATTCGAGGGCTGGAGAAGTATTAATTAATGAAACTGCCACTGCCTGTCATGCTGAAAAGCAAATTAAAGGAAAAAAAACACAGAGAGAGGAAGAATGGGGGGTGCGGGGAAAAGGTGGCATTCGGTGCTGAGAAAGCAATGCTTGATGAAGGATTAAAGGGACTAAAGAGAAAGACCGTCACTCTGCAATGGTTTGTTTCATTACAGTTTGGGGACCACTTGCATTTCTAGTGCTCTTGCTCTTGACTGCGCACCATTAATAGTATGTGAATATGGAAATTGAAACACTTCCAGAGAAAGGCTTCTATTCTGCTTTGGAAAAGAAAAGCTAGTCGAACACTAAGAAAAAAAACCCAGGCTTCTGTGTTTTACTCTCAGGACCTTTTTTTGTAACAGGGCTACTTTCTTCGACCTGATCACAAAGGAAGTCTTCACATTAAAAAAAAAAAAAACAAAAACAAAAACAAAAAAACCTCTCAGCTGTCTTAATGCCGCTGATCTGTATGTTTAGAAGAGAAAAGGTGTCACTGAACAAGTCTAGGCAGCCCTGGGCCCGAAAGGTACTCTCTGCTCCTGCGTTGGCTTCAGCAGGCCAGCTACTGCTCCTCCTTAGGCCCAGTGACGTTTTGGAGAGATGAGGAACTTCTTTTGTGGTGGCAGGTTAATTTTCATATAAATGTGTCATGTCTTGTACTTGGTGATCACTGGTGGTGTTAGGAAAAAAGAAAAAAAAAAAAAGCTTTATATACCTCTTCTACAGTAACTCTTTAACTGCAAGTTTTCAAGGTGGGGTTGTGGCACATAACAGGTTGTTAAACCATGCAGTGTAAGCAATTAAAAATGTATTCCACAGATATAAATATTTTCTTTTCTTATTGCTGTGACACTATGTGTGATGGTAATATTTCTGAGAGTTTCAGATTTTGCACATATAATTTTATGCATTATCAAAAATTACTGCTGCCTTGAAAGAAAATGTTCTGTGAAAAATTTTGCAAAAGCTTTACTAGTTTTTTTTTTTTTAATTGTAACATTTTGTAAAAAGGCAGGAAATGGATTAAAAAAAAACCTAGCATGCTAAATATATTTTTCAAAAAAGCAATAATTTTACATGTACAGAAATAATGCTAACCTTTAATACAGGTGAGAGCAACAGTTTACTTAATACAATAATGGAATAGTGCTGTTTTTGTAGAAATGGGCTTCTGACACAAAGATTTGTTAAAAAAAAAAAAAGGCAGAAAAAACCTTTAAGTGTGATCTTTCTGTTCTAACAGTTTTGGTGGGCAGGGGTTGCTTTTTAAAAAAAATCTAGTCAGTAATTGGTTCTGAATACTACTTGTTACTTGTTTTAAATTACTTGACAGTTTTTGTTACTTTGCAACACTTCCAACAATGCAAATTAACTTTCTTATGTACTTTTTTTTAAAACTAGTTTTTCCTTATGCTATTACACCAGATGTGTACCAGAATTCTTTGTTAAGTCTCGGTGTAGTTCGGAATGTCTGTGCAAATACTTATAAGTGACTGTAATTAATTGTTCTGTGAAGTTATTTTGAGGGAGGTTGCATAGACACATTCCATTGTACACCAAAAAAAAAAAAAAAAAAAAGGAAGAAAAAATGGACTATTTTGCTGTGTTGCTTAATGATCATAATTTTGGGTTTGCACTAGCTTTTTTTGTTTTTTTTTCTTTTTCCCCTTCTGTTTTGTTGCTTTTCTGAGTCGTATTTTCCATGAGTGAAAGTAATGATGACAGTTCAGGAATGCACAAAAGCTAGTTGCTTAGCCTATTTGTTTGTGCTTTAGTTATTAAAAACTATTTTGTACCCAAAATGGCACAAAAGTGTAGTGTACATTTGTAATTTCTCTTTTTTTTAATTGTATTTTTTTGGCAAGCTGATTTAGAATATCTGAGTTAATATTTAGAGCCAAGAGCTTCTTTCTGGAGGTTTTCTTCCAGAATCTCTCCCAGAGAAGCTAGTGCTGTCACTGCCATTACCAGGGTACTAATCAGCAAAGTTTACAATCATAATTTAGCTCCATGACGAACAACAGTAGGGGAAATCAGTTTAAATAATTATATGCTGTGTATAGCACAGAAATAAGATTTTCACTTAATTAAACAAGAAATAAGAGTGGGTGTGGGAAAGCCAGCCATAAAGACCATCTGTTTTCAGAAGCAAATCCCACGATTTCTATTTTCTTCTTTATCATTGTATTGTATTGATTTGTTATTTTAGTTAGGCCATAGTATTTAAAATGAGTTGTGTTCCTTATTTATTTAGTCAATGGGCTTTGATCAGCTCTTTTAAGCAACGTGATAACTTTTTTTGGCATGACACGCTCCTGTAAAGCCCTTTTATGACTGTTACAGGGACTTTCTACTACCTCTACCAATCTACTGTTTCTTCTTCTTAACAGGTTTTTATGGTGTTGCAAGTCTAATGTAACTTAGACAATAAAGGGTTTGATTATCTACGCTGCAGATTCTCAGTGTATCTGCCATCTCTCTCTCTTTCTCTCTCCCTCTTTCTGGTTTTCGTGCATTTTATTATAGCTAAAGTATAGAAGGTCTTTTTTATTATAGCTAAATTGAAAGAAAGAACTTCCTTGCCAGAGTATTTTTGTATCCTGAATGTTGTGCACTGACCAAAAGTTGAACTTGGAGAAACTTTTTCCACTAATCAGCTACTACGTTGCCATCATGCCGTTTGCATTCTTGAAATTCCTTCTGTCAGAAATGCTATTAATAAATCAGTACATACTGCAAAATAGAAAGCAAATTAGAAAGCTAAACCAATTTTTAGTTTTGTATTTCAAAACCACTTAAAAGTCCTTCGTGGAAAGCCTAAGCCTAAATTGCTGTCCCCATCCTATGGAAGACTCTGCTTACATGAAAAAAACTAGTTAAGAAAATTATTCCTTGGAAAATGACACTTTCTATTGGTGCAAAAAAAGTGTTCTGCTGTTGACTGTCAGTTAAAAATCTGTCACTGGAAGGATTTCCAGCTATTGACATCGTGCATGTTTTGTGGTAGTCCCTGTAAACGTGTTGCCACCTTCTATCACTGTGCGGTCCTGCGTGTCACGGAGCGCACGCGGTCGCGCTCGACACATCAGAGCGTACGTGATGTCTTGAGTCGTTCTACAGAATCCTTCTAATGGGAGTGCATCCTCCCATGTGCTCCTTTTCATGCTGAAAGGGCCCATGACCAGGCCTGTGCTTGGTTTTGTTCTCCTTCCTTGCTGTATGCCTGTGCTGAGCTACTTCAAGCAGATCTCGACAGCTCCTACAGGATTGCTAGGATTCATTGACACAGGATTTTTTTTTAGGGAAAAAGCAATCTGCGGTGAGAAGACCTGGAACAAAGCAAGAGGTAACTTCTTTATTATGTTCCTGCTGCATAAAATATGTTGGGTTAAAAGTAGGAAGGTTGCATTTCACGTCAAATCAAATTTCCCGCTCCCCTTGCAAGCCAGTATTTTTTTAAGCAAGTGGTAACGTGCAAAGGCCTGAATCGTTCAGCGTCCTCTTCACTCGTCTCTCTCGCTTCTCTTCTGCTGTGTTTGACTGCCTCATGCTTAAGGGCAGTCTCATGGTTGGAGGCAAAGCTCGTGTGGATTCACTGGGAACTTATGGTGCAAGGAGTGCCTGGTTGATCCCAATATTTAGAGAGGAACTAAAATAAAATGGAGTATATGAATGTATCTAAAAATTCCTTCCACTGTAGTTTTCATTAATTATGAACAGGAGCTGCTAGGGGTGCAAACAGTTGAAGATGAGTCGGAGCATAGGCATACTTCCTTATTAACTTTTTTCTGAGGGGCTGTGTGTATGCTGGCATTGTTGAGAAGCACTATAACCAGGCATTGACATCATTACTTGTCTTTAGGTAGACAGTAGCTGTTACAAATTAATTTATAGCGATACCTGTATTTTTTTCTTGAGGTTCATTAGTGTTGCTTTGGGGAGAAAAAATTACGAACAGCCCAACCCTCAACCCCAGAAAAAATTTCCTGTCATTCACAGCTGGTGGACAAAGGACAATCCACAAATGGAGAAAAATCCATATGTGCTGGATATAAACAAGTATTATTTCCCAATTGATCTGTTCATAGTGAAAATGAGGGACACTTGCTATTGAGAGAGAGAAAAGGATGTTGTGTTGGGAGTAGGAAGCAGGCACAGAACGGGGGGTTGTTTGCTTGTGGCTTGAATAAAGGGATCAAGAGCATTAGCATGAGCCAGCTTTATGGGTTGGGTTTGAGTACTGAGGTGCATGTCCACGGGGCCGTAAGAATAAGAGATGGAGAAAACTTGGAAGATCAGTAAAGGGCTAAGTTGTGGATCTCTCAAATTCCAGTAAATAGATGGAAGACAATGTGTGAGAAAGGCTAAAGCTAAGCACAGGACTGAGAAGAAGCCGGGAGTGGAGCGAGAGGTTTGTAGGAGAATCACCAAAGAGTGGAAAAGTTGCCAAAAAGGGCAAAGTCAACAGTGAGAGAGATGAAAAGGTTCTAGAGGTGGAGCAGAAGCTATGAAATCTAACCAGAAGTGGTCTGTGCCTG